AACTCACAGGAGAGCTTTTTTATGTAGAAAAGTGCGAAGAATCAGTTTTTTTGTTCAAAAAGCAAAAAAATGCACTAAGAAAAAATTTTCGGTCATTTTAATACACTACAGGTACAGTAGAGAGCGCCCTCTGCCCATGGTTCGTTTTGTCGTACCAAAAAACCCTTGTATACCAATTTTCACTGTTATACATCAAATATTGTTCGAAATATTTAAAAAAAAAACTATTTTAGAAAGTAAATTTAAACACCCGGTATTTCGGAAGCCATTTTTCGACCCATGTTTGTATAGACTTTATGCATTAATTTTAAAAGTTCTATCGAATCTTAAAGTTATGCAACAATAAACTGAAACACCCTGTATAAGTAAGACTAAAACAATTGAAAAGAAGAGGAAAAAAACACAAGCACTCCCGGCGTTCGCTCTGAGGCAACTGAGCCACCAGCGAATGAGGGCCTAGTCATGTTCGCGCCTCGCGAACCCTTTGTCGCGGGACAACAAACGGGAACAACGTGCGAACGCGAATGGGATCCACACTCATGGGTCGCGAGTAGTTCGCGGCTTCGCGCGCGATCCGCGCGTCAGTCTGGAGAGGGCATAAGGGTCAGGAGGCGTGGTCAGAAAGAGATCTAGCAGGCCACTGACATGTGACGACGAAACGCGGGAGGGAATGGGGTAGAGCTCATCACCAGCTGGGTCAATCCTTGGCAGTATCGCCATTTTGCAAGTAATTACTTGCATTTGCAAGGAATGAGGATCCATGCAAGTTCTCTAAAAGAATTTGCAAGTAGGTAATGCGATATTGATATTTTATGGATTCAAACACCGTCAGTCAATCAGTCGGCGGATATACATTCATCTTTGCTTCGACTTAGACTAAGAACACTGAGCACTGGAGGTTTTACATTTTAGGTAAAGACAGATATACCGATCTGCTCGGTATGAGACAAAAAAGTCTCATACCGAGCGATAGAAAACACTTTGAATTTTCAAGTAATTGCATGTAAAACTGTCTGATATTTGGCCACATACCCTGTTTCAACACTGGTCCTTGGGCAATAGCGAACGCTTCAACTGCACGACCTGCTACATCGTTCTTGTTTGAGCCCAACCAAAGCTCATTATGGGCATTGAAGTCACCGAGGTGAACTACCTCTGAAGCGGGGTGATTGATGTTCCGGAAGTCGCTCTTCTCAGCCAGGTATTCAAGGAGGTCATCCTAGTTATGGTCCGAGGGAGAGCGATAAAGGCAGCAAATAAATTTGGTTGATGTTTTGGAGTTGAGGCGAATGTCCTTCCACTCTAATTCCAAAGAACGTCTCTGGAGCAGGACAGCCACAAATTCCCCGTTCTTTCTCAGATTGCAATTCACCTCGTAATTTGGGAAGCTAAGATATTTAATCGGTGCAGACTCTGAGATTTTTGTCTCCGCCAAGAAAAGCATGGCGGACGATTGAATTGCAGGGAGTGATAAATAGCATCAATGTTACTGTTAATCCCGCAGATGTTCGTGAATCAAATTTCCATCATACAAATAATGCTTGATTGACGTATAAATACTAAGATGGTTGCAGGAAAAGTTTCATTCATAAACACCAATTAGCCATTAGTAAATTTTATTTGTCAATTCAGTAATAACACTGGACAACAAATTTTAGTTTTTTAATTGTATCTTGTGGGAAAAGTGCACTTCTTTGCTAATTTTGGGGCGCTGAATACAAAAATGACAATGAAATAAAAAAAATAGTTGCGGTTTAGAAAAAAACTTTTTATTTTTAAGGATATATTAAAAAAGTAACAAGATTCATATACTTATAAGAATCACTATATGCGCTGTCTTTTTGCTGTTCTTTTATGGATCGTTTCTGGAGCATCTCTACCAAGAGTCCAACAGTAGTCTGCAAGCATGGAAGGATTCCACTTTCCCTGGTACCTTTTTTCCATTGTTGAAATATCCTGATGAAAACGTTCGCCGTGCTCATCACTTACGGCTCCGCAATTGTCAGGAAAAAAGTCCAGGTGTGAGAGTAGGAAATGTATCTTAAGAGACATACTACAGCCCATCTTTTGATACGATGACAGCATATTTTTGACAAGGGTTTTATAGTTATCAGCTTTTCTATTTCCCAAGAAATTAGTGACCACCAGACGGAAATCATTCCAAGCAGTTTTTTCAGTACCTGTTAAAGTGTTTTCAAACTGTGTATCTTTCAAAATATTTCGAATCTGTGGCCTAACAAAAATACCTTCTTTAACCTTTGCCGCACTTAGTCTTGGAAATTTCTGACGCAGGTATTGAAAAGCTGACCCATGCCTTGACAAAGTTTTTCATTAGGCCCAACTTGATATCCAGTGGTGGTAATAAAATTTTTTTCGAATCTACTAATGGCATATGCTATACATTTTTTTGACCTGGCTCTAGGAATTGACGAACAGGCCAGTTTTGTCTGGTGTAATGAAGTGCCTTTGCCCGATTGTCCCATTCACACAAAAAACAGCAAAACTTTGTGTAGCCTAGCTGCAGCCCAAGTAAAAGTGCAACAACCTTCAAATCGCCACAAATATGCCATTGGTGCTCATCGTATTTTATGCATATCAATAGGTACTTCATATTGTCATATGATTCTTTCATGTGAACTGCATACCCTACAGGAAGAGATGGTAAAATATTTCCAATATGCAATAACAGTGCCTTTAAACTCAATGTTGAACTGTCTATACACAATCTCCATTCTTCTGGGTTATAGTTTATATTTGAAGCCGCCAGTAAGCCGTTGATGTTACTGCAGAAAACCAAGTTATTCTCCATATTGAAAAATGGTTCTAAGTCTTTGTGGCGTTTACGAAAAACACATACCGAAACATCGTCTTCTAACAAGTTCCACCGCTGCACTCTTGATCCAAGTAACTCTGCCTTACATTTTGGAAGTTCTAAATCTCTTGCAAGATCATTTAATTCTGACTGTGTTATTTTGTGCGGGTGGTGGCATGACGTGCTCGGTATAAAATCAGGATCTCTTGACGTTGATGGCATATCTTCTTCCTGGCGAATCACTCGATCGCCATGATCTGATTCGTTTTCTGATTCGCAATTGTAGGATTCTGGGGGTTTTGGAATAGGATTTTCGTCACTGTGAGGCACAGGTCTCATCGCAGACGGTATGTTTGGGTAGTTAATAACCGATTTTTTTTTCTTGGACATACCTGTGGCTTGTCCAACACAAGGTACCATGCAAAAGTAACAATCATTAATATGATTTGTAGGCTCTCTCCAAACCATTGGGACAGCAAAGCGCATAGACCGTTTTTTGCCATTTAACCAGCTCCTCAGACTTGAAGCACATGTATTACAGCAGATGTGGGGTGCCCACTGTTTGTCTTGATCACCTAGTTTACAACCGAAATAAAGCTGATATGCCTTTGTTATTAGTGGAGTAATAGACTGTCTCTGAGACGCAAAAGTCACATCACCACACACGTAACAAAACTGATCTGGATTGTTTACACACTTTCGAGACATCTTGCATGAACGCTGTCAGCCGACTGAGGAAAAAATGGCTAATATAAAACAATATAATGTACACGTATGTATAACGTAACACAATCATGCCGATTACATCATCTTTCCTTGCCGAATATAAAAATGTAGCACGTGCATTCTTGTGAATTACAGTATATTAACACTGTCACAGCAGGAACACATATAATTATCGTATCTCTAAAACTTGAACTAACATTGAAAAAATAAGTTTCATTCCGGTTTTAGCACATTAAAAATAGTAATATTTTGTTGATTTTATTTAGGATATTTTTTGGCTGTTGATCAGTGTAATCAGGGATTTTCTCAATAGTGTTTGTTTTACCTAAAACAGTATGGGGCACTTTTTGCTCTGTGATTTACATGAGCTTTATTAGTGTTTGGTTTAAAAAAAAAAAGGTTTATTTGGCATTCAACTTTATCTTTAACGCAGTATTAGTTGAGAAGCATTGACTGTTTAATTTTACTGACTGAATGCTGATTGTAACAATTAAAATGAAGTTCGAATATTTTGCGTCATTTTTATTAACCAGCTTTTTCCAGATGCTAAAGCTAGTATTTGGTCTCTGAACAGACGATAAATTGTGGCTGGATAGGAGGATACTAGATAGTCACCATATATCCATTGCAACCCTGATCAATACTGCATTTAAGTATGAAAGAGACAGTTGAATATTCAAAATGGTGGCTGAACGCCATCTTGGAAGACTTTATAACACCATAACATAAAGTGCTATATCTAAATGCTGGACTAGCAGGCTATCAAATTGAAGCATTTTTTACAGTGACTCACATATGACTCAACAACAACTAATCATAGAATATTGTAACGATCTTCTTCTGTTAGAGGTGCCTATTTGAAAATGCAATAAATATAAAAAAACTATCAAGTTTAAAGACATTTTAAAATCTCTGAAACAGAAGGTAGGCAGAAAATTATCAGTGAATGTTTTTAAAAACAGGATAAATAACATCAACAAAGCGTACATAAGTAATTTTTGCTGGCTTAAGCTAGGTATACCAGAACTGTAATATTTTTACCTCTACTGAGGACAACACATTTTCTACTCAAATGGTCTTTTGATATTTAAAAAGAGTACGTATGGCATAGACATTTTTCAACAATCTGTATCTTGATAATGGGACATTTCGAGACGCACGTTCATATTTATCATCTTGGTACGTAATGTTTGAATGTATAGTTTCCTCTAGAATTATTTTTTGATCACCCTATATGTTTTTTGGGGTGTAATGAACATAGCTCAGCTTTTAAAATATTTGAGCTTTTTGGACAAACATTGTACGTAAAAAAAACTCTCTTCCGAGATATTTCTATAAAATAAGTTAACAAGCAGTTAATATGCATGCATTTTAGATATATAGAAACCCTGATTTTTTAATAACATAAGGAATAAAGCAATCGCATCAAAGCTTTAAAGAAATCCTAACCTAAAAAACTTACCAAAGCTTCACAAATAACTGGGACGACCGCACTACAGCTTTACAACAACACGAAACAAACTTTCAAAAAACGGTAGTGCTTTGAACAAGCTTTGCAAGCTTAAAATGTTGACGTTATGTGACCTATAACCTACAAGCGCCAGTAAAAGTAGTTTTGTTTTGTTCTCTTGTATTTTCTCTACTTCTTGTTCTTGATTCGTCCTTTTTGGGCCTTGAATGTGGATGGAAGTGATGGTAAGCAGCGTTGCCAGGCATGGTATGTGTTTCGGCAGATCTTGTTATTTTTACCCTCAAGGTCGTTTTAATAAAATAACGGAAACGTGTAGAAAGCTACCAATTTATGTAATCTATGAATATCAAAAAATTAGTTATTTGTGGATCTAGGGCATTTTATTAATTATTAATCTAACACGCCAAAAACGTCTGAAAAGAATTATTGATGATCGCAGATAAAGCACTGTTATGTACTAAAAATAAAACAGTATAATTTTTGTCCCATTAAATAAGTATTGAGTACATAAGGGCACATACGGATTATTTTACAAGCTTCCAATTCAGAGAACTAAATAGTAACCACCACCGATCAGAAAAGAACTCTTGATATAAATTTGCAAACTGTCTCGATCAAGTTTAAGGCATTTGTCGATTGCAATGTGAACCCATAGAGACAAACAAGGCGCCTTATCTTAAAAACAACTCATTTTATCTTTACGCCAGACAAGATTTTATTTTTCCAACTAAAGAGCTTTGCAAAATATTGTTATTGAGCTAGTATTAAAACCAAAAGAATATGTAGTTGTTTCCTATAAACACCATCATGCGACACTCTAACTGGTGACCCTTGATATGTAAAAAACTATTACCGCTTCCAATTATACGTCATAGAAAAACCAATATTCATTAACACCCTTTAAAGAAACTATATATCCGTAGAGGTGTTCCTTACAGCTTTTAATGTGGCAACATTACTTTTTCGCACAAATTTGGGACGCTCTGTAATTATCTGAGTATCCGAGTTGTATTCAACAAGTCCGACAACTCTGTATTCAGAATGGCACTACGGTCACACAGGGCGTAGGCAACCAGTATTACAGATCTGTGAGTTGGCAGTTATCTAAGCTGCTTTCCAGTCAACGACGCAATTCGGTTTGAAACGCGTGAGCTTTTAAATACGAAAGCTTCACAACCAAAATGATGACTGCAACGAAAAAAAAAGGTTGTTTTGACTTGTATTTGACATTGCTGATATACTTTTAGTTTTTATCTTGCCGTATATTTTCCTTGGTTTTGTTTAGAATTTTTTGTTTGTTTAAGGGCTTGAATATTGGTTTGATTCGTTCTTAACAAAATTTATAGGCAAACTTATTTTTGTATTCATTATTGCCTTTCAATAAATACTCAGTACTATTTTAAATTACAAAATAGATGAAAAAAGCAAGCCGTTAAAGGAGCAGGTATTTATACAGGGTGACTTCGAAGTTGAGTCATTTATTTTAACAGTGAGTAGATCTGATCAAAAGAAATGTTTTTTTTCCTTTAACATTTTTGTGGTAAAATTAAAGTAACAAAGTTATAGCCCTTTAGAAGTTTGAGTACCGCCCTGTCTCAATAATAATATTATGTGCTCGTGTTTGGCGACAACGGATATACTCCGCCTTATCGGTTCATCGCATCGGAAACAACAAAGCGAAATAATTTGAGACGCTGATCACGATGTTTTTATTCAGTCTGTGTCAGTCGGTAATGCGTGAGTGAATAGTGGTGTTTCCTGCGTGGCTCAAACGAAATAAAAAATGGCACATATTTATGCGGATCGGTTTCCCAATCGAGTGCAACCAACCCCTCGTGCCTTTGTTAATGTAGTACAACGGGCTCGTGAATCAGGTGACTTAAGACTGCATGCCGGTGCTCCAAGACCTCACGATCAAATACAGGTCCGCACTGAAATACTTGTCGGGAGGATACTTTATAAAACAAGGTAAAAAAAAATTTTTATTTTTTTTTATTTTTACACACATATTTTGGTTTATCTTCCTTCTACAATCATTATCTGAAAATTAATGACTCAACTTCAAAGTCACCCTGTATATTTATAACAAATTGACAGCTTTGACTTGAATTTGAAGTTCCAAGAGAAAGGTTGGTACTCGAACGGCTAGTGGGGAATCAAAATTGTGCTTCGTGCATGAAGCCAATCTTTATTTGAGTAGATTCGTCAACAAACAAAACATGCGCTACTGGGCTGCCAATGATGTTTTTCGTGATTTTTCAAGCGCTTTCTACCAAGAGATTCTTTAAGTTTTGGAAAAAGATGACAGTCTGATGATGCTGTCAGGGCTGTGTGACCGAGCGTTGTCGTGAAGCAGAACGACGCTGCTAGAGCGCATGATTTGCTGGCGGTTTTGAATATCAGAGTAACGCGCCTAACGTAACAGCATTTATATACCGAATTACTGAACGAACATAGCCAACACCGTCAGAGACTTAAAGAAACGTAATGACTACCTAGTGAACGACTGGCCAAGAGTGTTTGAGGTTGAGCAGACGTCACGCGCAATCGGTTCCTACTTTAAAAATAGCTCTCATACCTATAATGGAACCAGGTATGTTCTTGCTATACGAAAAATGTTGTCTAGAGTGAAAAAAAGTTCTTTCCTAGAATGTGTATAAATATACGTAGGTATTTCGATGATGGGTAGCCAAAATATCCAGTTTACATAACAGAACAGTTAAAATCAATACCACAATTTCCTGAACATTTTTCCTTGAAACTAATGCCTACATATCCCACATTCCTCTCTCGACAAGCGACTAACGGCTTCAACAACTATCACGCATTTGGCTTTGTGGAAATTAGTATGCGAACAGACCTGGAACCAGACAGGGAGCAATCATGCCATAGACAAGGCCAAGGCCGCTTGTGGGACCACCAATATTTTTGAGAATTGACATTTATTCATATTAAGTCACATTTTGTGTACGTAATTTCATTGGAACAAAAATGGCGCCAAGTAGGTGGATACTGCACCTGCCACCCAACACTGTCATCATTTCATAACGAATTATTGTTAGAAGAAAAAACTATTAAAATGTATAACTCAAAAAAAAGAACTAGATGGAAGATACAATTAGACTGTACCCCCTTTACCTGATAACGCTGCGGTCTAGAGACTTCTTCCCTGCCCTTAATGAAAGTATCGACCATCTGGCAACGTCTGCTTTGTTATGCTGGCCAGCTCAAGCAGTGTAATGCTCAGAGATTAGGCGGCAGTTACAGATAAGATTTTGTGGGTACCGGGTGAGTTAGTAGCGTACGGCAAGTACAAGATAGACGCGACACGTCCGTTTGACGTTTAGTTTCAAGAGCAAATGTATGCGAAAATCTATAATCAATGAGATATATGTATTAATAGACGCATAGAAATAGTGGTGCTAGAAGAGGATGAACATACTACCGACCAGGAGCTTCTGACATGAAAAAATATGGTTTGACCGATTTTCAAAACTTTCAAAGGTTTTCCGTCGTTGGCATTGCAGTAACTTTGTCTGAAAGTTTCATCCAAATCTGAGGGGTACTTTCTAAGACAAGCTGACAGACATATCGACATCCGAAGAACACAATACCTCGCTTTACAAAAGTTCTGCCAACATTTATGGCGTTTGACAGTCGAGGTATCTGTCTTATCTCTGTCCCAACTTACAGGACACCTTGTATTTTTTAAAAGAAGTGGCAATTAACAACCGAGTCGAACTTCTTCCGAAGATCGATCCACCTGTCCCCTGTCCGATCCCTTCTCTTTACGCATCCTTGTCGGCGCACCTCCGTTCTGAAACCGCGGATCGCGCTGCGTCCGCCCGCGTTGCGTCCACAGTCGCGACAAGCCCGCTCACCGACCCGATTTAAACCCCGTCGAACGGCGCGCAACATCGTCCGTCTCTCTCTAACGCACGCGAAGGCCAACAGGTGTCGCGTTTCGCGCGATTTCCCTTATATTTTCGCAGGGAAAATTCCTTCCGATGATGACGGAAACGGTGGTGAATGTGCAGGAAGCCCCCAACAACAATGCTTCGAAGCAGCATCAGACGCAGCAGGCCTCGTCGCCCGTCGCGTGGATCAAGATCAATGTGGAGTACTTCAAGACCACCCCCGGCCTGCTCAAAATAGCCGAATTTGTAAGTTTTCGCGACTAAGCGGTGTCTTTTATCAGGGGAGGGGAAAGTTCGTGCGTTTTTGTCCCCCAGGAGGGCAATATCGTGCACTAAATGAAGGAAACCCTGTTAGAAATTGCGCACCAGACAAGGATTTTATCTGCAATTTTGGCTTTTGTTTGTCAGGACATTCCCTTCATTTCAGAATCACTCAAAGTGAAATAATTTTCATCATCTAAAATAATGATTTTTCCATTGCCAAAGTGTACCCCAGCATCTTGGTATATGAAGGAGTTGCGCTTGAGAGTATTTGGGGCACTTGAGTCTCTTTCGAGTGCTTCAATATGTATACACAATTCAAAGTCACATACATGCAACCTAAAAATAAATACATCGATCTGGCTTTCAAATATGTGAGCTAATAATAAATGGAAAAAAATACAATCAATTGATAAATCCGCGCTATATTGGTTTACCCAAAAGGAAAGAGTCAAGAAGCAATGCTGAACGGATGGCAACACAAAAAAAACAACAAAGATAGCAACATCTAACGGCTGATTAAAAATCAGCTTCCTGAATATTACTACACTTTTGCTTCTCAAGGCAGGGTCGGTTGAGTAGTATAGGCATCGTCAGATTATTTATTATTATGCCTCAGATCTCTAAGATTAACGGTTCCTCTAGTTACCAATTTACTATGAAGGTAGTTGGGCTTTTTAGTACACAATATCTTATGCACAAATACCTTAAGACTATATACAAATTGTTGATCCATTTTCAACTCCTTGATCTTAGAGGAAACATGATTATATTTTCGAAGACCATACACAAACCTCCAGCAGTTGTTTTGCATTCTTTGGATCCTACACCGATTCATCGAGTCAAGCCAAGAATAGTATAAGGTTAAAGCGTAGTTGAGGCTGGACGTTATCAAACTTTCAACTAGCTACTTACGCGTTTTAAAGTTCAAAATGAATCTATTAGCATGTAGCAGTCTTAATTTGATGTAGGTGGACTTCGATAGATGACACACATGTTTGTCAAATCTTAAACTAGCGTCGAAGATGGCA